TATATATATAGCAGCTAAGCTTTATCCTCTTAACTCATTCAGCGCGCAGTGAAGTTTGTTATTACTATACAACTTCCTAAAGTGCGTGAGAATCCGCAACCATATGCACATTTTACAATACATAAGTTGCCGCCTCGTGTTCTGTTTAAAAAAAAATATAGTGAAAAGGCAGATGAGGAAAACGGACGATTCAAACCCTGTGAGTTCGTTCGCTCTCCTTTCCTCTCCATTGTTTGTCTTTTAAATTCGGCTTTCCTTAAAATTCGCAGACCTTAAAAGTCCCATTATCCCTCTAAATTTTAATCGAGTTAAAGTAAAATCAAATTTTCTTTGAGTTTTACGCAGCTGGACAATAAACCAACTCCATTTCATCCTTAGCCTCAAAATACAGTTAGAAATTAATCCTAATTTCTCAACTTCTTTTATGCATTTGCCTATGAAACCCCCAAAGAGTCCGATTTTCTTACAGAATAGAGTTGTTTTGGTATCTTTATACACAGTCAGTTCAACTGAGTCACTTTAAGCAATATTTGTGCATCGTAATGTAGAATTAAACTTCTGCATAGCTGCAAACTTTTTTTAGACATTAGACTAGAAAAAAGTCTCTTAATCTCTGTTTATTTTGGGACTTCAGACAGCAAAAGACTATAATTATAAAAGAAAAAAAGTTCTCTTTTCTGGTCAAATGTTAGGAAAAAAGAATATCTACTGTAATTGATTCATATTCTGTTTTTCAAGTACCAAGAGTAAACTTCACCTTAATAATCGCTTCTGGAGCCATCCATTTCAATGGGGCCATGCCTAGTTCTGGCAGTTTAATCGCCTTGTGACCAGTATGCGAGAGACCAAAGTCCGTAATCTTTAACACTTTGTCTTTACCAACGAGACAGTTTCTCGCCGCAATATCTGCGTGAATAATCTAAATAAACGTCCTTTGATAGAACTACGACGCTTTTGGTTTTTTTGTTATTATTTGCTGATGTAATTAAACCTCTAAGCTGTGAAGGTGCGGAACAAAAAAAGCTGTTTTTATTAGGAAAAACAAACACAGTTTAGTGAAGCGAACAAGCCTGAGCAGATGCAGGATAATATAAATTATTGTTATAAATTTTGAAATCTTCTAGTGCAATAACGAAAGGTGGAAATGCGCGATAATTGTCATCAACCTCTAATAAGGGCTTTTATTTTAGAAAACAGTGTTAGCACAAAGTGAAGAAATCTGGACCTTCATCATGGCAAGATATTCCAATCCTCTAGCAGCGTCAGCGGAAAACCGCTCGAGAAGAACCACTGGCGCTTGTCGAGTACTTGTTTTTTGCAAGAATGTTCTATCAACGAGACAAAACTTATAAGTAACGCCTTCTTTTCTTAGTAAATTATTATTGCTTTTTTTAAAAGAGTTCAATGTTTTCTATAAATTTTGAAAAATTTTAACAACTAACTTTAATGAACCTTCCGGTGCATATTCCATGATCAGTTTAATTGGATCTTTGTCAAACATAAGCCCGTAGGCGGCAAGTACATTTGGATGATGTAACTTTAGCATTATAAAAGCCTCCTGGAAAAACTTCCTATGCTATGTTTTGTTCTTCAAAAAAATTTGCGATTTGTAAAAAAAAATGAAAAACCTACCACTTTGTTCTTATATAATGACCAATTTCTTGTAAATCTTTTTTGAAACTAAAATTAATAGTGTATACGTAAGAAAAATACATTTACTTAGGTTATCTTACTTTAACAAACTTTGTTCTTTCTTTTTTGATGCCTTCGATGTCATCAGACTTTGAGTTGACGACTTTGACTGCACACTGATAAACTTTTTCGGTACGCAAAACTCCGTAATAAACTTTGCCGAATGCCCCTTTCCCAATTACTTTTTTAGTCTGAAATCAATAAGGTTTATAAGTGACTGATAAGTATTTGAAAAAGACGCTCTTTTTTGATACTTAGACAAAGCACTACAAGATTACTGAGTATTTCAAAACCACTGTACCTGCAGTTGTTTCTTCTCGTAAAAATATTCTGGGCGTACAAAAGGCTTCTGCAATATGACGCCCTGATTGTTAATAGGTTGTTGCGAAAATACGTAGTGCTCAATTAATTCATGCACTGACGACTTTGCCGTATCGTTTGACTTAATTATTGGAAATAGAATTAGAGTAAAATAAAAAAACCGTTCAAAGAAGAAAAAATAGCCATTGTCTGAATCAAAACAAATTTAAAATCTCGGTCTTTTCTAGTCAATAATTCAAAATAAGTACAAAGTTTTAACCCCAGTGGACAAAGAAATGTAAAAAAAAGTAATGAAACGGCGAGTACTTTGACGTAATATTTGCCGCCGTTATAAAAGACAATAAAATGGTAGAAACGTTCTCCATGTTTTGCGGAAAGTATCAAATCCGTCGCGCCACGTTCTCTTTGCGTATTTCGAACCAAAAATTCTCCTTCTGCTGTTAATAGCTTTTCAGCAAATTCTCTGGGTATCCAACCAGCATAATATTGATAAGTCGGTGCTACCGGTTTTGATTTACCCATCTTTCTAAAACGGCAGATTTGTTGGTAGAAATGACCTTGGTTACAGTCAATACTGCAAAAGCTTAACTGAAACATTAATGCAGTAAGTTTTTTTTAAAATAAATTTTATTGCATCCATAATTCATTTTCTGAATCTTATAAGTCTTACTACTAACAACTCGAAATGATCAGCAAAGAACTAACTGTAAATTAAACAAAATACTCTTTTGCAACATTCAGTATCGACTAAAAAATATTTTTGTTCAGCACTCATATTCTATTTTTCGCATTATAAAATTTTGCATACACCTTTTTAAAAGTTTGCTTATGAACGAATTTTTACAATACGTTTAAGTGATACTAATTTAATTTAGAGCATACTAAATCTTTACTAAAAGTGTGTTAAAATTTTCTAGTTTATATTTACTCGCTTACAAGTATTCAGATTTTAGATTAACATTTTTCTCACTTTATTAAATTGAAACTTTCAGTGTTTAAGGTAAAAAATATATTTTTAACATAATGAAAATTAAAAAAATAACAATATTGTTCCATAGTTGACTGCTTATTTTACAATTCTTCGTTTGGTTTTGAATACTACAAAGCCTTTCAAAATAACAAGGAAAATGACGCATTATTTATGGTGACAAATGTTCACAATTAATTGTATATGTTTCAAAGCCAATTTTTTGATGGTTATTGTTACCACTGTAAGCACTCGGTAAGTTATTTGTCATTAGCACTTTGTTTACACTGTTATTTCAGTCGAGAAAAATTTTACTTAACACTCTCTCTAATTTTTTTATCGTCAATGGAGGCTACACTGCAAAATTTTACATCGGAACAAATACAGTTTCGATGTAAAATTTGCAGTTTCACGTAAGCCTTTGCCGTAGCTTAATTGGTTAGGCAGAGAAAATACAGAGAATCTCAGTGTTCTACTACGCAAAACTTTTGTGAAATGTGTTACCATCGGTATGTCACATTTGCATTTTTTAAGAATAATAGAATATTATTCAGTATGCAACAGGTGTATCAGCCATTTATTACAATGATCGACAAAAACGGCCTGTCTAAAACAAAAAAATGAAAAATAAAAACTTTTTTTACTGCTTGACTAGCGATAGAAATGGCTACATTTATGTAAAAAAAAAAATAATAATAATAATAATATTTCGTAATTATTTAACGACAGACTGTACTGTTCAATCAACCAAAGCTTAAGTAAGACGACGAGAAACCTGCTTTAGGCCTGTCTTATTTTTCTTTTCACTAAATAATAAAGCCAACAATGAAGAATGATGATAAAAGATCTGTACTGTTTTATTCATAGTAACATAAAAATTGAGTTCTTTTCTGCAAAAATAAAAAAAGAAACGATGTGATTTCTACTACTAATACATAAAAAAAACTTCAGAAATAGTCATATAAAATTTTTTTTGGACAGATTTTTTGGTAAGTTATTAGCTTTCGTTCATCTGGTAATTGCCAAAAAAATTGAAACTTTTAAGAAATTTATAAAACTCTTTAAGGTTTCTTTTACCCTTTTTGTAATATATAAAACCCAAATGTTTCAATGAATAGCGTAGTATATTCAAAGAAAAAAAAAATTTATTCTACACTTTTAACACTCCTCAGCCTCCCCTCCTCTCGTTCCCACCCCTCCGTGATTGTCTTAATCCTCACTCATAAGCAAAATCTATTCAACAAATTAGGTAAGCTCTTTTGTATACTACAGTACTAACAAAATGAAGGTTGTACCAAACTTGATCTATTGTTACTTCTTTCCTCCTTCTTAAAACAAAAAAAATACATTGAAAAACAAGACGCCTCTCAAAACACCACGTGATTTAATAAATTACATTTAAGCTTTAGTAGACTTAAAATGACATATCAAAAAGAAAAAGCTTCCGAAAAAGGTTTATAAAAGGCAAAAGCCTTTTTATCAGTGGTTGGAAATAACAGTCTTCTTACAGCCAATCTTGCTAGTCTAGATTTTTTTTTTAAAATTTTCCACAGAGTATAGTAACGATGATGTCATAGGCAATAACCTGAATTGCTGGTCAACATTCAAGCATTGGGAATACTTGGAACAAAAAAGTGATTGATTTAGCAACGTTTGGTAAAAAAAAGTTTAACAGTGAGAAATTTAAAATTGTTTAAATGATACATAAAATATGATTGTACGCAATTTTGGTTGCTCAGAAAATAAGATAGACAACAAAAAAGACTGACTAATTTTTATCTAAAATAAGTGCAAGACAAAGAAGACAAACGATTATAAGGTAAGAGTTGAAAAATGAAAGTATAGTTCAACTACATTCTTTTAAAAAGCTTTTCTTCCTTCTTACTTTTACTTTACGCCTAGGTAAGTCATTGTTAATATGTTAGATCCTGAAGAGACTGCAAAACATAAAAAAGGAAAAGCACTTCAAAAGTTTTTTTCAGCTATGAAAAAGTGTTATCATCTGAACGTTATCATAATCATGACAGTTTTCATCGAGGAAATATAACAAGAGTTCTTTCTCTACCACAGTAATCTTGCTTTGTTCATTCCCATTAATTGTTTTACCGACTTAGTTGTTCACAGTGTTCCACCAGAATAGAAATTGCTTATTTTTTTTCATACTTATACATAAGTTATGCTTCTGAAAAAGAAAAAAGCACAAAAATTGTCCATACAGTTTCCGCGGCTGCAGATATTTAACTAGTCTTATGTTTTCTAAAACAGTGATACTCTTTGAACATCATAACAGTTTAATAACAGTCAACAGGTGTCCATAAACAACTGAAGTCATTAAACGTAGACTGTATTATTATATAAAATTACTGAAAATCTTGATGCCGCGACTCAGAAAGGTGTTAAACATGACGCTCAACCAGCACCTTTGATTAGTTTTTTCGTCTTTAGTAGGCTGAATAGTTAATCCCCGAGACTTTGCTAATTACAAAATAAAGTACAGCGTAAACTTATGAAGAGCAGTACGTTTCATTTAACAAGAAAGTTGCATAACTTTTCGACATTCGGAGAACTTATTAGGTGGGCGAAATGCGTAGGCTCTTGTACTGTATTAAGGTTTATTGCTGAAGTCAGAAGCTTTTTTTGCTTTTTTAGAACGCAGAGGTAAGCCCGCAAAGAATAGGAAAACATTTTTACCTCTGCCATCATTTTTTTTTTATTTTACGGTGAACCAATTATGCAAGTATCAAAGCACAGCTCTTACCATCCCTAACAAACATTAAACTACCTTCAATAATCAAAAAAAAAAAAATTTTTTTTCTCGCAGCAACCCCCTAATATGAATAAACTTTGTTCTTTTAACATTCCTTTTTTTGGCAAAAAGTTACTCATTTGCTTTACGGTTATTCAATATAAAAATTTACATTCTTATACGTAAACTATAGCTCATGAGACAATTATTAAGTAGAAAAAAATTGTTAACTAAACAAAAAACTTTAATTTTTCAGATGCTATTTTAATGCTGTAGTATAACAGTGGTGCAAAATCAATTTTTTTTATGCGCACAAGTTTCACTAAGCATTTGAAACCTTTTTTTCAACTTCAAAAGCACAATATAGGCAAGAAAAAAAGTGGTATTTTAGCGTATAACAACAACTGCTGCAAAAAGAAAACATATGATTTAGCAAACTTCACTAAATTATTACCAAACATAAGAAATTTCTCGAATCTGATTAATTCAGCCCGTTTTGTATCCTTGTCGACGAATGCACTTCTAATTTCGCTGCAACATAAAAAAAAGAAGAAAATTGTACAAGCAAAGAAGATAACAAAAAAATCTGTTTCAAAAAATAATAACTACAAAACAACTTGGAACAGAAACATCAGCACTTAAAGGTAATGTAATCTTCACTTCATTTCTTGACCATGTGCCACAAATGTACCAAAGACAGATCTGTCAGCGTTGAGGTTTTATACAGTTTTCTAGCAGTTGGATATGTATTTATGGTAATAAACAAGAAAATATTTATGTTACAATCCAGCAATGTCATTCTTGGAATATCTGATAGCTTCTGGTATACTGATTAGATTTGGTTTTTTAAGAGCCCTAATAAACTGGCAAAAAACGAATATATTCAACTAGAAAAAAATTTTTCCCCAATCGAAACTACACATATCTAGCACGGTTGTAAACTTTAGAGCAAAATAATTATGACAATATGTGAATTTATTCAAAAGACATTTTCAAAATTCAATACGAGATTCAATGAGCAATGGCATTAAGCTTCTGTTTACTTGTTTAAAAAAGTGAGAAACAAGATTTTAGTTTTGTAGTTTGGAAAAGCGATTGAAACGCAGGTTAAAGATGCCATTTTCTTCAACTAACAAAACAGCGAGCAAAATGTATGGTTAAAAGTTGTACTCAACAGTTTTGTCACACTTCTTTTTCAACCTTCTTACTACCAATGGTAATAAAGCTTCTTATCAAAGTTGCTCCGTATAGCTTGATTAAATGCCCTTCATTGTCATAGAAACATATAATTTTTTTAGACTGTTCACTCGTCATATGTGAATGGTGTAAAGAGTTGATAGAACTTTATTCATTAGGAATCATATATAAAACATCCTGACGTTTATATGAACATTTGTTAACTGACCTTCAGATATGTAAATTTAGGTTCAAAATTTTAAATTCAAAATTTTACTGAGAAAAAACTAATAAAACTTTGCAGCAACGAAAAGAAGCAATGCAAAAGAAATCCTTCAAAAATACTCATTAATTAAAAAAAGCAACTAAGATTGATTGTGCTATTAGTAACATTATATTACTGCTAACCCTTATATGTTTCTTATCGTTTCCAGTATTACAATCAAAAAAAGCTTAGCTAAAACAAATTTGAAGCAGTAGTTTTGTTTAGACAACAGGAATTACCTGCGT